GTCTCGAACTCAAACAAAACAATATGTCAATTCACTTTCGCGATCTTAACAACCTTACTTAACAACCTAGATGTCTAAACTGTCGTTTGAATCTAGCAATTGAAAGCAAGCAGTAAACACAGGTTCAATATGTTCATGAATCGCCTTAGCATCAACTTTCGCAGGCTAAGGACGATTCGCTCACCACAGTTCGTTCTAACAACCTATTGCACTTTTGATGAACAGCAAATTTGAGATCAGACATCGAGTGATCAGATCGATCTAAGCAATGAATGCAACAATGGCGAAGACAGTATTAAAGCCCTATCTGTATTCAGTCAAGTTAACACATGAATCCCTTTGAAAAACCTAGATCTAGCAAGATGACTACTCAGACATGGCGAAACAGCAAACAATAACTGAATGGAATGTCATTGAATCAAAATATGAAAATAGCAAAACAAGAGTTCAGAAATCTTCTCCAAACTGTGAAAAACAGAGGTTCGATCTCTTCTCCCTAAGAAACAATGAAAAACAGTCTAGAACTCTGAAAAACGGCGTAGCCTAAACAATGGCTAAAGGTAGGCCTAAATAGGTTCAGGAGTCGAGCTCGGTTCAATCCGGTTCGCTACGGTTCGATCAAGTTGGTTTGCACCAAGTAGATCGAACGGCTGTGATATCATCTGAGTGGGACAGATCGAACGGCTGAGGCATAACGGGATCGATCGAGCTACGTCGCGTTACATGGGTTTGGTCGAGCTACCTCCCATTGCATGGGATCAATCGAGCTGTCTCCTTTCGCACGGGATCGATCGGGGTCGATCGAGCTTGTTGTGTCGCGATGAGTCGATCGATCTTGGGAGGAGTCGATCGAGCTCCTTAGGGCTCCGTTTTGCTTGCTTTCTCCCTATGTTGGTCCATGTGACCAAAGCTCTCCCTGTACGTCTTAAGACCTGAAAAGACTCGATAAAGACTAGAAAGACTCGATAAAACTCGTGAAAACAAAGGTTTGAATGCGTCAAATATGCAAGATATCAATCATCATTTACAGTATGAGAATCTAACTATTGATTCGACATCAGTTTTTCTCTTACCAAACACTCACAAATTTTGACTGTCATCTGATGCGGGATCAGGTTTTACCTATTCCTATCCCTGATTCTGCAAGTGCACAGGTCAGGTGTAGTAACGGGTTATCGAACACAAGGAGCAGATAAGTGCACTACAAGCTATGGAAGTCTAACTTTGCTAGGACAAAAGGATGAATTGGGGTTTTGGTATGCAAAAGAACTAAACTAAAAGAAAGCAATATGAAAGCGGTGTAAGTTCAATGTGGGAAAGACGCTAGGCAATAGGTAATTCGCAGAGATTCATATATGATAAGATTGATGATTGATTTATATCTATTTAGGGATATGGGATGTAAGATCCGTCTAGAACACCAAACACGATTGTAAAACCATTCCACTGTCGAGGCTCCGGTTCCTTTGTTAATCTACCTAGTCGCTAAACTTTTGGTATGTCCCTAGGTGATTAAATCAAGCATTAGATCGAGCAAGTTCGGATACAGTTCACTAGGTTAAGTAAATCAACTGTCGCAGTCTAAGAAACCTAGCTTGTCAAAGAATATGTCCGGCGAATGATACAACACTTTCGAGGCTCAAATCAACCTAAGATCGAATCACTAGATGTACGGTAAAGTGATTAGCATTAATTAAGTGTGCACAACGAGACAAAGACTCTAATGATATCCCTAGTGAATTCATCAAATCATAATCAACACATGAACTCTTTGAAACCCTAAAACCTAACTAGAAATCTACTCAAACATGGTGCAAGTAAACAAGCATAGATCTGAGATAGAAATCATATTAATATAAGGAGAAAAGGGTTCAGAATGGCTTGCATCCCGGCTTAGATGAACAAGTACCATGTGTCCATGATAAAATATCTTGAAGGGCAGCCTTAGGCAAGGCATAGTTGGGATTAGCCTTGGAGTTGTAGCAAACGGATGTGTGATTGTGATAGATCTTTGCCACAATCATTGGTGTTGGACTGTAGGGAGATTGGATGGATGCAAACTGATGAAGATAAGGGCCGGTTTGGTGAATGGGAGACTTCCTCATGTGATATTGGTCGGTGAGTTTTGATTTTTCAGGGCTTGGTTCACTCCGGGTTGCGTTCTGGCCGAGATGGGACATTTCGGTCGACCGGAGGGTAGTGCTATGGACTACAGCTCAAACTATAATGAATTCCTCGACCCATATTAAATTTCATCGACCAACCTCATATTTGATGGCCTCTGGTGAAGTTTGAGAGCATTCGAACGAGTGGATTGAGAGATCCTTCACAAAGTGGTCAATATGGCTCCGGGAAGAGGTTTCTTGGCCATCCTTGAGTTTGGCTCGTTCGTTTTGTGATCTTCCTTTGGAAATGTGATAGTGAAGCTCCAGGAAGTCATTTCCATCCGGAGTTCGCGCCTATGCCGTGATTTGGTTTTGTCGGCCATTTGGTTGCACCGCGGACGACCGGATGGGGCTCTTCTGTATATCTCCTGAACCGTGAACATTTCACCGTCCTATCTTTTGGATTTGCCGACCAAATTTGATTTTATGGTCGCCTGTGAAGTTTGGTGGACTTCGAACATATGGTTGAGGAGTTGGCCGAGATTGATTCTCCATGCATGTGCCATGGCCGAGAGAAATAGGCCGGATGGAATTTCTTCAAATCCACTCGGGCCAATTGAGATTTTCTTCGACCAAAGTGATTTTCTAACCTTCTTTATCATTCCCATGTGGTGCGCGCCTTGTTCCTTGGAGATTGGGTATGTTCCTCCTTTGAAACCTTCCTTAAACCTCCATAGGTATGATGGTTGTGGTCGGCTATAGCATTTCTTCTTGATATCCTTCGTGTAAAGTAATTTAATCCTTGCAAAATACTTGAAATCACTGATTAGATAGTTCTTAGATTGAGACCCTCAAGTAACCAGCTTGAAGTTCACAATCCAAGAGATTAAGGTAAAAACTATAAACATATTTTTGGGTCTTGGTTAGTGATCCCAAACTTCAAATTATATTTTAGTCTATGTGAATTCATTGCATCATATAATTTTGACAAGTAGAGATATATTTCATTCAATAACCATGAAGTTTTAAAGCGATTTAGACCATGAAATGTAACTAATGAAGTGCAATGGTTCAAATGCTCATGAATAGAGATTAATAGTGGTCATGAATGAAATATTGGAGAAGAATTTACTTACCTGTAGTGGAGATTTCGCCTTGAACAAGGGTGGGACTTTGGGTGGGACACTTTCATGGTTTTGTCTCCTTTCTCCATTTTTCGAGGTTTCTTCTCAAATTTCATGCTAGATTCTCAAATCTCTGTATCCATAACTTCAAAAACAAAACAAAAACCATTAAACTAAAACAAAAATTAAAAAGGGAAAAGAAAACACCTTATGGGTTGCCTCCCATATAGCGCTTGTTTAAAGTCTTTTAGCTTGACTCTTTCTCTTTCTAATTGACCAATTGATCAAATAGAAGAGTTGAGGCTCCTTTAGCTTCTCTACGTTCTGGACCTGACGTTTTGAACTCCTCCTATGGAAATCTTGAAGGTCTTGAATGTAGTTGCAAGAAACAATACCACCAGTAAAGAGTTTCCTCTTCTTGTGCAGCCCATCCTTGAAGGGTTCTTTGTTTTCCTTATTCTGGAAATCAAAGCTGAACTTAGAGAAGCATCTTGAAGTTCCTATAGGCTGTGGTGTAGCATCAATCACGTCCTCCTTGTACTCCCTTGGTGTCAAAATCTTGCTTAAGACACTTGAGACCTTAATGCAGTTTGCCTTTGCCGGTATGGCAATTTCCTTAGATATGATGAGAGGGGCTGCTGATATGACGTCTATCAACTGCTCCTGGTCATTATAAGGCTCTGATAGTGGTTCCTCTCTAGCGCACACATCTGCAGAATGAGAGCTCTTGATAGGAACCGCCGGATAGGACATGGCTTTACTGATTTTGGAGAGAGAGATTCTTTGCTTCTGAAGATCCAAGATTGCTCCATTGGCTTCAAGGAATGATGAACCAAAACTCAATGGCTTGTTAGGGTCGTGTTTCATCTCTAATATATGGAAATAAGCCTTAAAGACGTGATCTCCAATGGATAGTGTAAGATTCGAGATGAAACCATGGAAGAGAGTATAAGGGTCATCTTTAAACCGCATTGGTATCTTGGAGGGATCCCTGACTTCAATCCCAATCTTCTTGGCTATTCCTTTGTTCATGATGTTGATGTGAGATCTTGTATCACATATGGAATCTTTAAACAAAACTCCATTAATGATGCAAGGTACATCAAGCTTCTCCGGGTTAGAGATCTTCTCTAGTGGCTTCGGCTTGTAACCTCTTGTTGAGTCCAAGGAGTAATGCTCTTGCTCTGGTCTTGTAGCCAAGTTAACAGCAGTCTGGGGTGGTTTATGGGTTGGCACGAACTCAGCTTCCCTTCTAGAGATGGATTCACAAAAAGCTTTTGTTTCCTCCATCTCTTGTCTTTTCAAATCTTCATAGGTTTGATCAACATGGGTGTAAATCTTCTTGATTTGACAAGCAAGAGACTCGTTCTTGTCAATGAAACTGTTGAACAAGCTTTCCATCCTCTCATCCAATTCATTAGTGAACTCTTTTTGATCATCCACAATCTGCTGAAGCATTGCTTGAATCACACTATTTTGCTGAACCGGATGAGGTGCGCTTGGAGGAAAGTTGTAAGGCTGCTTCATTGGGTACATGCCGTTTTGATTGTACTGCTGCATAGGTCGGAATTGACTTCCTTGATGGTGAAATCGTGGTGATTGCTGCTGGAAGTCAGGAGGATAGATGAAGTCATCTAGATAGTTAACTTCTTGTGATTGCTCCCATGCAAAATCTCCAATGGTTTCTTGGTAGTAAGGGGCACGCCTTAGTAGGACATGATCTTGGGTCTGGCCAAAGATCATAGCTTTCATCTTATAATCAAGTTTGCACCTGAAACACACAAAGATAAAGGCTTAAAGCGAAATTGAAACAAAAACTAAAACAAAGGAAGAATGAAAAACAACTAAACTAGAAATCAAATGCAAAAACTACTAAAACTAAATTCCTAGACTAAGCTATTCTTGGGAACTCGTAGGCAGCTGTATTGCTCCCCGGCAACGGCGCCAAAAACTTGATGCGGGATCAGGTTTTACCTATTCCTATCCCTGATTCTGCAAGTGCACAGGTCAGGTGTAGTAACGGGTTATCGAACACAAGGAGCAGATAAGTGCACTACAAGCTATGCAAGTCTAACTTAGCTAGGACAAAAGGATGAATTGGGGTTTTGGTATGCAAAAGAACTAAACTAAAAGAAAGCAATATGAAAGCGGTGTAAGTTCAATGTGGGAAAGACGCTAGGCAATAGGTAATTCGCAGAGATTCATATATGATAAGATTGATGATTGATTTATATCTATTTAGGGATATGGGATGTAAGATCCGTCTAGAACACCAAACACGATTGTAAAACCATTCCACTGTCGAGGCTCCGGTTCCTTTGTTAATCTACCTAGTCGCTAAACTTTTGGTATGTCCCTAGGTGATTAAATCAAGCATTAGATCGAGCAAGTTCGGATACAGTTCACTAGGTTAAGTAAATCAACTTTCGCAGTCTAAGAAACCTAGCTTGTCAAAGAATATGTCCGGCGAATGATACAACACTTTCGAGGCTCAAATCAACCTAAGATCGAATCACTAGATGTACGGTAAAGTGATTAGCATTAATTAAGTGTGCAAAACGAGACAAAGACTCTAATGATATCCCTAGTTAATTCATCAAATCATAATCAACACATGAACTCTTTGAAACCCTAAAACCTAACTAGAAATCTACTCAAACATGGTGCAAGTAAACAAGCATAGATCTGAGATAGAAATCATATTAATATAAGGAGAAAAGGGTTTAGAAAGCTTCTCTATGTCGAGATACAAAGAAGGGATCTTCTCCCTAAGGAAAACAATGAGAAAGAAGTAAAACAATGGAAGATCCCTCTAAGGGGAGCTCCCTAGTGCGCCTCTCTCTTGTAGCTCTTCTCTTGTGACTCTCTATGCGGCTCTCTCTTCTAAAGAGGCTAAAAAAGAGTATTTATAGTGCCCTAGGTCTTCACAAGTCGGTTTAGGTTAATTGGGCTGAGAATAGTCAAAACTGCATAAGTGGGCTTCTTGTTCGCGGAGATCGGGTCGACGCGGTCCTTTGTTCCCGGTCGCACGGTCTGGTCGGCCGTGATGTGATGATCTCGGTCGATCGTGGTCCATTGCCTCCCGGCTCGGACGGTGCGGTCGTGCGGTCGGATCCGTCCTGGAGAAGGCCGAGCGAAGCCAATTCCCTTCCTGTCCGGCCGAGTGCGTTCGGCCGGCTGTTAACCAGTCTTCAGTACAAACGTGATATCTCCTAAACGGCTTATCCAAATTGCATACTTCCAACGGCATTGGAACACTAACTCATCTGCTATCTTGGTATCAAGTTTCATTGAAATCCATTGAGTTTAAGGGTCCAAGCCGCGGCTGCCCGTTTGATGTACTGATGCAGTCCGATTAAGCTCCTCGTATATGTCTCAGGGAAATAGAGATATCTCCCAATCTACTCGGTCAAACTGATTGATTCCAGTTGCGTTGCAAAGCTAACTCACGTATGCATCGCCTCGAACTGGATTTGATGAATTCCATTGAGTAGAATGTTTTTAAGGCCCTTCTTAAGTTGATGCTACGTCTTGGAGTGGTCTTGAAGTCCAAATCCTGTGTTTTGCTCCAAAATGCATCTTTTGACCTGTTTAGACTCTAAGTACTATAAATCCATAAAAACTACCTTTTTAGATCAGAAAGCCATTAAAAACCTATGAAAAGCATAGTAAAACCATATAAAAAGCATGTAAAATAGAGGTATATCATCATCCGAACCAACATATTGTGGGTTCGGAAAACCACACTCAAAATTTATGTGTATTTTGTAGTGAGAAATTGCATATGGAATCAGAGGTTAGATTCTGATGTAATTCGAATGATTCGTAGACAAGTATTTGACGAAATCGGAAGTGATTTCCGGCTAGAAAGATTAGAGCTTTCCAGGGATTATCTCAAAGATAAAGGATAAGATCGTATAGAAAAGAGGATAGAATGTATTCTCAGTGTAAAGAGTACTTATCGAGAGGTCTAGAACATTCAATCTCTTAGAGATGTAGAAAGGAACATCGTGCCTTGTGATCAAGAATCGTCCTCCTTTTATAGCTCCGAAGTAGATCGCAACCTCCTCCGCGTATCTCGTCCACGTGCAACTACCGATCCCGCTATTTCCGGATCTGAACGTCGAAGCGAGATTCTCGTTTGACTCGTTCAAACTCAGCTTGCGGACTTGACTCCGTCGAGCTAGAGCTCGACTTCGTCTTCACAAGTAGCTCGGACAGTAAACAGCTGGATTTGGACAAGGATACTTGGTGGGCTCGAGGTCATTTTACTGGGCCTGAGTGGACTTATCTTGATCTTAGGACTTAGGTGATGGGCCTTATGGGCCGGATTTCTGGAGGGAAATCCAGGTCCAACAATAGCCCCCCAGCTCATTAAGTGAGTATAATCGAGCTTAATGAGCGGTAGGTTGTTTTAGAATTGTCCCGCAGTCCCATCGAACTAAATCATGACTTTAAATAGTCATTAGAAATCGACGGTTGCAAACGGAAGGCGAGAGATCTTTGAAGATCTTGCCGTTGAATGATAGTTTCACCTTGAAAGACAAGGTAATAACTTATTCTTTAGATCGACAATCAAGATCGAAAATAGATCGAAGAGCTATTATGATCTTAAGAGTCGAGCTTTTCGAGAGTAGTGAAAACCTTAGGAGAAGATTTGCGATTATCAACTCTTTCATATTGTTTCTCGAGAAGGCTTTTGGTTTAACTAACTCAAACATTGCGCGAGCTCTTTTTGAGTTAATCGATTGTTTTTCGAGTTCGACCAGTTGTTGATTAAATTCTTTAATCGAACTTGGTCACTTTAAGTCGGATTGTTTTTCCGACTCGAACTCGAAAAAGGATACGACCAAATGAATTTTAGTCGGTTTGTTTGACTGAATTCTCGCATAAGATTTTCGGCTGACCGTGAAATCTAGCAGAAAAGACTTTGCCAACTCTTCTGGAAAGTTGCTTCAAGTTAAACTGATTTCTTTTTGAAATTTCGAGTCAAACTTGGCATGATTTCGACTAAGTATTTGTTTTATTTAGGTCGAGCTAAATAAAATCTAGTCTTTGGTTCGAATGTTATTTCAACCAAACGTTCGAGCTTATCGTTGAGCTAAGCTGAACAAAGACTTAGTCAATATCTTTGAAGATATTTTAAGGTCAGGTTAGAATCTATTGAGAATCTAGCTCGATCTTGAAGATGTTCTCGAGTTTTAGCTCGAGAATCTGGCTGAGTGCTTGACTGCCATTCAAATCAGACTAAGTGAGACTTAGTTGATTTCTTAGGATCATATAAGATCAAGCAAGAATCTGATTTAGAATCGAGTTTGACAAGATGATATATGTCCGAGCGAACTTCGAATCGAGCTCAATGCTGCGATAGAGAAAGTTTTTCGCTGTACTGTTTTTGCCGCGTTCTATCTGTTCCAGATTTTGGCTCGACTTTGAATGTTCCACCTCTTGGAAGAGAGAAGATTTCTCAGCTAGTGTTTCTTGAACGATCTGCAAAGTCGGCTGCCGCTCGTTGAGCAAGCAATCCAATCTGAGCTAATGGAGTTGTGGAGATTGTCCATGTTGCGGTCGAATCTACTCTTCGTGATGAAGTAGTAGGTCAGGTTCTTCATGCTGCTATTGGATAATACCCAGTGACTCATTTGAGACGAACTATCTCGTTGAGATCGAATAGCGAACAATGAGGATGGAGCTCGAAATGAGCAAGAGATGATAATCGGACTCCGAATTTGTCGAGCTCCTTGAAAAAGCGAGTTAACTCGACGGCGAGTCCGTCATCCCTTTTAGTATAGATTGTTCGAAGGATGTGCCAGTTTTGGATAATCCTTGAACGTTCATGTTGCGCCAATGCGGGCCTGCTGCAAATCAATCTCCAGTTTTGGATATGACGCTCGAGAGGGAGCTGTATGCGGCAGCGATGGCGGCGGATGAGAAGGTATGGTTTTACCTTTTCTAAGTTTTTGCCGATGATTTGATATCTTCGGACTTAATATTTGCGATTTCTCTTTATCAAGCTTTGAAGGTGAACATGAAGCTCTCTGCTCGTTGTGAACAGAGGTTACATGAAGCGTTCTGGCAGGATGAGCTTGATAAGATGAAACAGTGGTAGATGAGCTCGATACTGAGCTCAAATATGCGAGAGATAGAGTAGCTCGTCAAAGCGACTTACTTAAATTTTTGCTAAGGATGAGCTCTTTTCTCGTTTAAGTTTCGAACAAGTTAGCTCGGCAAGGTTTTCATGCTTTGCTTTTGGATTTGGTGCCTTGGAAGGCTTTTATCCTTTTATGTTCAAACTTGTTTGCTCGGATGAGCTTGATATTTGATAATTTTTCTTAGACGTTTGATGTCTTAGAGTTTATCTTTGTTTTCCAGATCAATTGACTGTTAGCTCGATTGATTTCGATTATTAGTCGTTTTGGTTTGATTGGAGATTTGACCTAGCGTGTAGCTAACTGGTCGGACCGGACGAAGCTCAGTTGATCTCTTCTGAGAATCGTATAAAGTTGAGCTAGTTTCTTTTCGAATTCCAGCTCGAGCTTTTAACGTGTTGTTAGCTTCAACTTGGAAGGTTGCGTCGGGTTGAGCTAACCTTTGTCATGTTGAAAACTGATTTTAGATGATCGTCTGAATTCAGTAGGTGGTTCTACACAATCAAGCTTCATCTTTAAAGATTGCTTTAAGTCGAGGTGATTTCCTTTTCAGACTTTCAGTCGGATTCGACCGGTTTTGCCAATTGTGTGATTTTGTAGATTAATCTACATGATCAGCAGTTGGGCTTGATTAAGGCTGCTCGGGGTCGAGCTGATTTCCTTTAAGATTTCAAGTCGGATTCGACTGTTTTGCCAGTTGTGTGATTTAGTAGATTGATCTACATGATCAGCTCTTGGACTTAATTTTCAAGGCTGCTCAAAGTGAGCTAATCTCCTTTCAGATCTTCAGTCGGGTTCGACTGGTTTTGCCAATTGTGTGATCTCGTAGATTGATCTACATGATCAGCACTTGGTCTTAATCTTGAGGACTGCTCGGAATCGAGCTGATTACCTTTCAGATCTTCAGTCGGGTTCGACTGGCTTTTTGCTAGTATTCGATGTCCTTAGGAGTAATTCGAATGTTTAGCTGGTTTAGGTTGTTGGGCCCAAAGTTTTTTTTTTGTCCTAGACCGATGATAGGTTCTAGGTGATCTCTAGGATTAGATCGTTCTCTCTTCCTAGCTGCTGAAGTCGATCTTGACCTCCTCCGCGTATCTCGTCCATGTTCAAACTACCATTCTGGCTGTTTCCAAGGCTCATCGGTATAAGCAACATTATCACATCACACGCACAGTCCAGCTATTTCATGGTCTTATCGGTCTGCAATATCGTCACCCGACTCAAATAGACCAGCTATTTCATGGTCACGTTGGTCTAAGCGATATTACCACCTGACTTGTACGGCTCGGATATTACCGGAGCTCGTCGATCTGAGTAGTATTATCGCCTAACACTTACAGCCCGGTCTTGAAGACTTATTCCGTCGAGGTATTACTCGACCTCGTCTTTACAAGTAGCCCGGATGTAGTATATAATTAGATAAATATATTTGATGGGGTCAAGGTCAGTCTTACTGAGCCTGGATTGACTTTTCTTAGTCTTAGGATCTTGATGGTTGATGGTGGCTGCGCTCGTAGTTCGAGCTGCCTAAGTACCCTGAATAGGGATCAAGCCTAACGTAGTTCAGGTTCTAGACCGAGAATAGGTTCTAGATGATCTTTAGGATTAGAGGCATGCTCTTTTCATAGCCTCTGAGGTCGTTCTCGTCCTCCTCCCCAACTGTTTCCAGGGCTCATCGGTATAAGCAACATTATCGTCAGACACGTGAGACCAGATATTTCATGGTCTCGTTGGTCCGAGCGATATCATCACCCGACTCGTGAGATCCAGGTAATTCCGGAACTCATCGGTCTGAGCGATATTACCACCTAACTTGTACGGCCCGGACATTACAGGATTTCGTCGGTCTGAGAAATGACGACGAAAAAAGCTAAAGGGGTGTGAAGATGACGATAAATCTCAGGTTATCTGAGTGATCCGAAGGTAAGAGATTACGTCGAACTTCTGCCGGAAGTGATTTCCGGCTAGAAAGATCAGAGCTTTCCAGGATTATCTCAAAGATCAAGGATAAGATTGTAGAGAAAAGAGGATAGAATGTATTCTCAGCGTGATATATCCATATCTTTCATGTTTTTATCAAGGTTTTCACTATGTTTTTAATACAAATAATGTGGTTTTTAAGCCCAAGAGGTAGTTTTCTTGTATATTCTGGTTTTGAGCATCATTCAGGTCAAAATAGCAAAGAAGAGTCAAAATGGAGCAAAAGAGTCAAATCACCAAGTTCCCAAGTCTAGAGCACCAAATCTACATTTCTCGCTAAAGACCAAACCGGAGCATCCGAAGTACGACCGCATATTCATGCCTTCCCGACGTCCAAAAGTCATGATTCTTATATGGAAAGATAGATATTTGAGTCATGACCCGCGGCGAAGTGGAAAGAGGTCATTTGGATCACTCGTTGGACCGGAACTTATTTTCTACCAAGACATGTCCGACGAGCGCCTAAGTAGAGCCCATGGAGACTTTGATGGATCAAGAGGCCCGAGATACCGCGCCCAAGGCCTTGGCTCATCTTGACACTAGCATAACTCAATCCAGAAGCTTCCATTGGCCTGAACGCGGCCCATTCAAGAACTTGGAGAGCAAGCTCAAGCGGCTAAAGAGAAATGGAAACTTTCCTCTTCTGCGCGCGCTCAACTTTGCCGACCTAGACCCGCTCTCTACCTATATATACTTGCTTTTAGCCTCTTGTAATAAGAATCACCAGCCGCATAACAAGAAACACTTATTCAATAAAGTTCGGAGCCACTTAGGTGGTCTCCTTCTTCTTTCTTTTCTTCTTTTGCATTTGTATATAGCTTGCATGTTTCAATTTATATAGTCTAGAAGTAGAGATTTCTCCCTAAGGGTGAGGCGGTTTAGTCATATTCCGCCGCCTCTCTCTCTAAGGATTCATGAGACTTCATCTACTATCTAAGACTCATTGTTGAATTATGGATCCTTCCAATGAGGACGTGATATAATGGCCATCGAAAATCGATTGTTAAAAGGGGAAACCCTATGGTTCTCCATCTTTATTTATGCTTAATGCTTGTTGCTAGAGTAGCTAACTAGTGACTTGATTTTAGGTTGATATACTCTCCAAAAGCTTGTTATATCTCCGGATATAGTATTTGATGGGCAAATCGTTTTAGGCTACGAAAGTAGACCTAAAGAGTTTTGTGAACAATCATTACTTGGATGTAATGCATGTCTCACTCTACAATGACCAACGAAAGCTGAGCCCATTGGTTTAAGAGACATAGGGGATTGGAACCACGAAAGTGGAATAATCCTTCCTTAGTGTTTTGAGTTCAAAAGAATCGGATTTTAACAAACTTTTCAATCGACTTGGCTCATGTTTTCAAAAGAGTTTTCAATAGTTCAATAATGTTGCTTGTATAGAATTGCATTGTTATTTCTTTCATGTGTTCTAAACAAACACAAACCCTTGCATCTTTTGATTTAGCTTAGTCATTTGAAACTCTATGATTATGTAATGTGTGAAATCCAATCCCTTGTGGTTCGACCCCTAAATACTACAATTATATGTTGTGCACTTGCAACACTAGTTGTCTTAGGGAATTATTACTTGTACTCATCCCATAGATGCCGCATCACAGCGTAAAGAGTAGTTATCGAGAGGTCAAGAACATTCAATCTCTTAGAGATGTAGAAAGGAACATCATGCCTTGTGATCAAGAATCGTCCTCCTTTTATAACTCCGAAGTAGATCGCAACCTCCTCCGCATATCTCGTCCACATGCAACTACCGATCCCACTATTTCCAGAACGGTCGAAGCGAGATTCTCGTTTAACTCGTTCAAACTCAGCTTGCGGACTTGACTCCGTCGAGCTAGAGCTCGACTTTGCTTCACAAGTAGCTCGGACAGTAAACAGCTGGATTTGGACAAGAATACTTGGTGGGCTTGAGGTCATTTTACTGGGCATGAATGGACTTATCTTGTCTTTAAGGTTGAGGTGATGAGCCTTATGGGCTGGATTTCTGGAGGAAAATCCAGGTCCAACACATATATATCAAAATATACTGGATGCAGGACTTTTAACAATTTTAAAGATTTGCTTTATTTTAAAAAATTCAAACCATATTCTATGCAGAGAAACTAATTTTGTTTATTAGATATTAGAAAAGTACCACGCAACGCGGGGGTTTATGAAACACTCACATAACTAAATTAGAGTTTTTAGCTAATTTTAATATAGCTGAATTATTAGTTACTTTTCAAAGTGTATCTCTCATTGCAAAGCTGATAAAAGTCAGCATATTTATTACGATTTTGATATTAGAAAGTTGTGAGCTGTACTCTATAAAACCTCTCTTATGAGAACTTTTGGTATAGTTTGTTAAAGTCTTTGCAGATCTATGTTGAACCAGAACCACTAACATTATTCCGCTTTATTTTATTGTAGTTTGGTTTAAGGCATCTCAAGCTTCATGCTTCTTTGTTCTTTATAAATACTATGATTCGGCTCTAAACCTGCGTGTGTTACGAAATGGAAATGACGACTTGATGCTTAAATTGGGCTCTAATTTCGTTGGTTATATTAGAAATGGGCTTACATGGACTTTTTTGGGTGGTTTTATGCTGAAGTGGCAGTTTTCTAAAATGCATCTGATGTGGCGATTTGGAGAGCTTTCTCAGAAAAGTGATGTGGGTGGCCTAAGAGGCCCCAAATAGCTATTATCATTTAGTAATAAAGATGTGACAAATAAATCAGTTTTACGTTTGACAAAATGAGAACATGCTAAATGAGATAAACTTGTTAGGTCATCACTTTTCACTTACCTTGCCACAATCCCGAGTAACCGTTCTGTTAGATTCAAAAACCATCATAAGAAGAAACATATCATCGGGAAGGACATATTGCTGTTGGTAAACCTATTGGTATAAAACGCTTAGACCACTTATTCAGAATCAGATTCTAAAACCGTGAAACCACTTAAACCACCTGTTAGCATAGTTTTTCTTAAACCTAAAAGGAAATGTAGATAAAGGCTAATTTCCTTACAAAACTTGAATGGTTGCTGGCAGGGGGAATCTAGGATTACATTTTACCGCGGTCAATATATTTTTTTAATTACTTATTAATAAAATATATTATAAATAAAGCGGTAAAAACATTTAAATTTTTACAAGTTTATAATATCTCAAAATACTTGTAAATTTATTTAACCATATGAAAAAAATTAAACCAAATTTTTGAAAAAAAAAATAATACACATGAATTTCTCACGTAAAATTCAATGTAAATGAAAATTTTAACATAATAAAATGTAACTATATTGAATTTAACATTTAGTGAGAGATTATACAATAAATATAATATGTCAAATTAGTTATTTTTTTCCCTAAAAAATAAAGAAATAATGAAATTGTATTTAGAAACAATGAGCAAAAAAGGAAATAGGGTCAAACATAAAATTTTTAGGGGGTCACTCAATGAAATTTGTGGTAATTAAGGAAAATATTATTAATTTAGTGAGGGTCAGCTGACCCCTAATCTTGTTACTAGATCCGCCCCTCGTTGCCGGTTAAGAAAATAAAGCAGAGTATACATTGGAGTACCGCTGGTATGTAGACTTAGTTCTTTAATGGGAAACTTGGTCACAAGGTGGGTTTTAAGTTTGGAATTAAGTTTTGGGTGGGTGTAAGTTTTAAATTGCAAAATGGGTGGATCACTGTTTGGACCTTGATAATAGCCCTCCGGATTTCGACTTATTTACGGAAAATGCCACTCGAATTATTTAAATAAGATAATTCGAAATTGCAAAATATAAATCACGATTATGCCATTATACCTTTTTAAAAAACAAATAATTATCTTCTCTTTTTTCCTTCTCTTTCCTAAATTGTTTTATGAGATATTATTTTTATTGAAATTCTCACTTTTTTAATTATCACTTATACATTTATCTCTTATTCATTACAGTAATTGTTTCTACTATAATTAAGAAAATACTCATTTTACTTTATTTTAAATTACACCAAACAAATGTTTCATTCAATAACATTTATTTTCTAATGTCATTATACATTTTCTTTTAACAAAAATTTATCTCCTTTTTTCTCTTTACTCTTTCTTAAATTCTTATATGAGATATTTTTTGTTGAAATTTTCACCTCTTTAATTATCTCTTATTCATTTAATAATTTAATTGACTGAAAAAGTAGCAATTTAGCTAAATTAGTAATAGTTTCTATTGTAATTGATTTCAATACTCATTTCTACTATATTTTAAATTACATCAAACAAATTTTTCATTTATTAATATTTGTTTACTAATGTATTTTATGACTTTTTCCATGGATCAATATTTAACTAGGATTTCGCATTTAGTAATGATACATATACCATATAATAATATATAAATACACTATTATTTGATGAAATGATATATATATATATGCTTCGGTTAAAGATAGCTAAGAGATAAATATCATATACTGGTACAATATATATTGGTGCGTACTTTATATACTAGTGTGTATACTATTTTGTGTATGCCATATATTAGTGCGTATACTTTTCAAAAACATTTCTATGAAGTTAATTTTCAAAAGTATACTTTCTCAATAAGTAAAGGAACTTAAAACCATAAAATCAAAACTCTAAACCTTAAATATAAACCCTAAACCTTGAAATCTAAACACCATTGAAGGATTAGTGAATCCTAAACCCATATACTACGTAGACTAAATATTTAGGGTACACCATATAGCACTTACAATAAATATTTAGTGTACATTATGGATGTGTACACCATATAATATAACGTATAGGTACACCATTATTTATTGGAAATGATATATAAGATCTAGTGTTGAATATAACTAAGAGTGATATGATCATATATTTGTACACCATATACTGACGCATACACTATATACTGGTGTGTACACTATTTTCATGGGTTCACCAATCTTTGACTAAAGTCTTACGTTTAGGGTTTAAGGTTTACAACTTTTTCCATGGGTTCATCAATCCTTGATTAGGGTTTAATATTTACTAATTAGGGTTTAGGATTCTTCCCCAAGGGTTTACCAGTCCTTGACTAGGGTTTAGCAATTAGGGTTTAGGGTTTATGATGTTTTCGCATGGGTTCACCATCCTTGACTAGAGGTTACCATTTAGATTTTAAACTTTCTAATTTTCCCCAATATTACACCTATATTATTCCACATGGTTTAAGGTTTAGAGTTTCTCATTCTTCCCCAAAGGTTTACCAATCCTTGACTAGGGTTTAGCATTTAGGGTTTAAAGTTTAAGACTTTTTCCCATGGGTTCACCAATCAATGACTAGGGTTTACCATTTAGATTTTAACCTTTCTAATTTTCCCCAATATTACACCTATATTATTCCACATGGTTTAAGGTTTAGAGTTTCTCATTCTTCCCCAAAGGTTTACCAATCCTTGACTAGGGTTTAGCATTTAGGGTTTTTAAAGTTTAAGACTTTTTCCCATGGGTTCACCAATCATTGACTAGGGTTTACCATTTAGGATTTAGGGTTTATAATTTTTCCCCATGGACTTATTAATCCGCGACTAGGTTTACAGTTTTTACATGGTTCACACCCCTAACAAGAATTTGTTGTTTACAATATTTTGAATGGGTTCATCAAACCCCGACTAGGGTTTAATGTTTACAATTGTTTATCGTTAAATGTTTAAGGTTGACAATTGTTTTCATAGGTTCATCAATCCTTGACTAAGGTTTAATATCTACTATTTAGGGTTTATGATTCTTCCCGAAAGATGTACCAATCCTTGACTATAGTTTAGTAAATAGGGTTTAGAGTTTATGAGTTTTTCCCATGGGTTCACCATCCTTGACGAGGGATTACCATTTAGGTTTTAGCCTCTATATTTTTTCCCTATATTATTCCCCATGGTTTAAGGTTTAGGGTTTTGGGTTTAAGTTTTACAATTTTTTCCATGGGTTTATTAATCCTTAACTAGGATTTAGTATTTACCATTTAGGGGGTAAGATTCTTCCCCAAGGGCTTAGATTGGTTTAGTAATTAGGGTTTAGTGTTTATGACTTTTCCCCATGGGTTCACCGTCCTTGACTAGGGATTACCATTTATATTTTAAACTTTATAATTTTTCCCAATATTACACCTATATTGTTCCCTATGGATTAAGGTTTAGGGTTTATTACATTTACCCATGGGTTCACCGTCCTTGACTAGGGATTACAATTTAGGTTTTAAACTTTATAATTTTTGTTCCCTATGGTCTAGGGTTTATAATTCTTCCCTAAAGGTTTACCAATCCTTAACTATGGTTTAGCATTTAGAGTTCAGGGTTTATGACTTTTCCCATTGGTTCAGCAATCATTGACTAGGGTTTAGGATTTAAGTTTTAGAGTTTATAATTTTTCCCCATGGACTCACTAGTCTGCGACTAGGGTTAATTATTTTTACATGGTTCACCAATCCTTGACTAGAGTTTAGTGTTTATGGTTTAGGGTTTAATGTTTACTGTTTAAGGTTTACAAATTTTCCATGGGTTCATTAATCCTTAACTAGGATTTAGTATTTAATATTAAGGGTTTATAATTCTTCCCCAAGGGTTTACCAATCCTTGACTGGGGTTTAGTAATTAGGGTTTAGGGTTTATGACTTTTTCCCATAGGTTCACCATCCTTGTCTAGGGATTACCATTTAGGTTTTAAACTTTATAATTTTCTCAATATTATACCTATGTTGTTCTCAATGGTTTAGGGTTTAGTGTTTATGGTTCTTACCAATCCTTGATTATAGTTTAGCATTTAGGGCTTAAGATTTATGATTTGTTCCCATGGGTTCACCAATCATTGACTAGGGTTTACCATTAAAATCTTAGAGATTATAATTTTTCCCAATGAACTCACTAATCTGCGACTAGGTGGTTCGTATACCATATGTTCGTATACTAGGTGGTACATACACTATTTTGTGTACACCATATGTTGGCGTGTATACTATAAATATTATTAGATTTTTGTGTACATTCATTGTATTCTGGTGGTGGTTCGTATACCATATATTGGTACGTACACCGTTATTGGCATGTACACTATTTTGTGTACACCATATGTTGGGGTGTATACTATAAATATTATTAGATTTTCGTGTATGTATACTGTATTTTGGTGGTTTGTATACCATATATTAGTATATACACTGTTACTAGTGTGTACACCATATGTTAGCGCTTATATTATAAATATTATTAGATTTTTGTGTATGTACACTTTATTCTGGTGGTTCGTACACCATATATTGGTACTACACTGTTATTGGTGTGTACACTTTTGTATACACCGTATGTTGGCGTCTATACTGTATTTATTATTATATTTTTGTGTACACTGTATCATAGCGATTCGTACACCATATATTGGTACGCACACCGTTATTGATATGCACACTGTTTTTGTGTACACCTTATATTGGCGTGTACACTCTAATATTATTAGATTTTGGTGTGTGTTTATATTGTATTTATTTCGTTGGTACTGTGATAAACGAATATATTGGTTTACACCATAGATTGACCATACATTATATATTAGTTCGTATATTATTTTTGTATACACCATATGTTAGCGCGTACACTGTATTTCGACTTTTCTGATGTAAAATTTATATAAGTTGTTTTAATATTATCCAATTTGAAAAATTTAAAGTTCAATATGTATAGAAAAAATTCTGTATATTTTTTTAATACATATATTATTATATAATTTTGATTTAAATGATATATTTGAATCTCAAATTGAAAGGAGAAACATGTTAAAGAAAGTAAGAGAGAGAAAATAATTTTTATTTTTATTTCGTTTTTTTTCTGACATGTGTCCCATTTTTGAAACCTTGGTTCAAGCTTTTGGATTAATTTAGTAAAAGAAAATAATTTCTGTAAAAATACTTATCATGTTTGTCAAGAGTGGAGATAAGACGACACATCATAAATTCACAATAATATGCAGACAATAAAAATTCAGTGTGTAAATGAAAGACATGCCAACTATAAATTGATATTGATGCTAGAATATTCATGATGAGAAAATTAGGTTTTAATAAATAAAGGTTCAAAAAGTAGAGTAGTCATGAATGGGAATGCAAAATCAGATGAATGAAAAAATTAGATGTAAGACTCAACTGATTTGTTATTCGATAAAATAAGATTTTGTTTTGTAATGTTGCTAAATTTTGAGAGTTACAACTAGTAATGCTGAATGACAAAAACGATTATAGTAATTTGAAATTCGTAATCTTATAATAATAGATAAATTTATTTTATTACCAAGCAAATGGAGATAAACGCTAGTAAAATAAAAACTGGGGGTTCACAACATTGGAGGTATGGGAAGCTATCTTGGTATACCGGAAAGTTTAGGGGTGCAAAAACAAAAAAAATTTAGTTTTCTCATCGACAGACAACAGAAGAGAATTCATGGATGGACATCGAAAACTCTATCCAAAGGGGGCAAAGAAATCATGGTAAAGTCAGTGCTATCAGCAATGCCTACACATGTCATGTCTTGCTTTTGATTGCCCAAAGGGGTGACCAACAAACTTACAAGTGCGGTGGCTAATTTCTGGTGGAGTACAAACTCTCAGACACGCGGGAGGCATTGGCTGGCATGGAGAAAGCTGTGTAGGCATAAGTCCGACGGAAGTTTGGGGTTTAGGGTAATTGAGGATTTTAACACCACCCTACTCGCTAAACAATTATGGAGATTAATGGATAATCCGGAATCACTTTTTTCAAAAGTGTTTAAGGAGAGATACTATCAGAACTCTACTCCCCTAGACCCAATACGATCTTACTCTCCGTCCTATGGATGGCAGAGCATCATCTCGGCTCGATCTCTGATTCAAAAAAGGCTTATTAAAAGAGTTGGTTCAGGCTCTTCCATTTCAGTATGGTATGATCCCTGGATTTCTGACTCTCGCCCGAGGTCAGCTACTTGTAAGGGAATAAATTACTATCCCCACCTGATGGTGAGCCAGCTAATTAATTTCCAGTTATCAACGTGGAACATTCCACTATTACACCAATTATTTGAGAATGAGGAAGTAACTCGAATAACGGGGATTACTATTGCTACCGGGTATAAACCAGACACTTATGGTTGGTTCTATACAAAATCGGGGCGGTACACGGTTAAGTCGGGGTATAGCATTTTACAGGAATACCCAGAACAGGAGGTGCTCCCAATATTTGGACCAGATCTCCGGAGATTGCAAGCCCACTCATTGAAAGTCAAATGCACTACCAAGCTTCAACACTTTATTTGGCAAATTATCACCGGCTGTTTATCGGTTGGTGCATGGTTATGTAGTCGGGGAATGAGAGTGGATCCACAATGTGTGCGTTGTGGGATGGGTGATGAGACAATTAACCATATGTTATTTGAATGTCCACCAGCCCGCCAGGCTTGGGCTCTCTCACCAATCCCAACACCACCTCAATCTTTTCCTACGGGCGCCCTGTTCTCCAATATGGCTCACCTTTTCTGGAGTCTGCCGGACAATGAGGATATGCTGATCTATCCATGGTTACTTTGGTTTATTTGGAAAGCACGAAATTATAAAGTATTTTCAAATGATGATCATGATCCGCGGGATGTCTTGGAGTCCGCGATTACAGAGACCCGTGCATGGGCTTCTGCACAATCGAGGGACGAAATCAGGTTGCCGACAACGGTGATACACCTAGGGAACACACTTTCGGGTGAGTGGTGCCAGTTGGATGGGGCGTGGAAGGAAACTGAATGTCGAGCGGGACTTGGTTGGTATAACTATGATCCGGGCTCGGGCTCCACTTTGGTTGGGTCTTGTAATTTACGGCGGGGTCTCTCCCCCTTGCAAACAGAATTGGAGGCATTAGTTTGGGCTATGCAAAGTATGCTGGCTCACAATAAACAGCAAATGAATTTTCAAACAGACTGTGCTGAGTTGGTGAAGATGGTGGCAAACCCTAACGACTGGCCGGCGTTCGAGATTCTGCTTGAAGAGGTGGAGAAGTGCAAAAGGCAGTTCCAAGCATTCTCTCTATCCCATATCCCGAGGAAAAAGAACACGAAGGCAGACAAGCTAGCACGGAGTGCTCGAGATCAGCTTTATGATGTGTGCTATGTAAACTCAGTTCCACCGGTTACGCTTCCCGTGCCGAGATAGGAACTTAGGCTGTTGACAAAAAAAAAAAAAATATATATATATATATATAAGCAAGCAAAAGAGGCTGATTCAAAGATGTTACAAACTTAATATTGAATTGGTTCTCAAATGTAGATGGTCTTCTCTTCTGTTGGAAAAACGATTCTCTTTAAGATAAACTTAACCAATATTCGGTTTAAACAAACTAAAATGAAAAGAAATATTATGAGTCATAAGAGTCTTCTCGTTTCATGATTTATGTATGGCCCGAGATCTCATTCCACAAAAGACACAGGGTCTAAATGGTAACAGCTGAATGTTGCTGAATGCGGAATCTGGCTGAATAAAATGAAGTTTTTTTGCAGAATTTGGCTGATTAATTTGTAATATGAATGGTAACAGCTGAATGTTGCTGAATGCGGAATGCAGAATAAATAGTTGAAAAATTGTTTGTGTAACAAAATAATAAAATATTTACCTAGTTAAATAAAATAAATTATTCAAAATATATATAAAATTTAAGTTTTTGAATTCATAATAATTTATTAAACATCAAAGTTGAAAAAACTAATATTTAAACATACAAATAAATATAAAATTTTGATATTACCAATTCATTAATAATTTAAAGTAGTATAAAAATATATATTAGATCTTGTTATAACTGAATTTTGTTTTAAAACATGAACCCATATCCAAACAGAAAGTTGAATCATCTTATATTTCTTGTTTAGTTCTCTTTTGTATTATTTGCATATAGTCAAATTATACTAGTAAAGTAAAATCAATTATAAATCAATTTATGTTAAATCTATAAAAAAAGAGAGTTTAATCATAATATGATTCCTTTTAAAAATATGATATATTTATAAATTAACTGTATTTTCTTATAAGTGAAATCAGTTATAAAAAAAAACATATGTTAAAATAGGTGTATATATTACTAATAGAATTAGTAAATTTTACCCACGTCACTCTAATGTTACAAAGATTATTAAATAGTTTTTGAACTAATAATACTAGTTAAAAATTAAAAAGATAACGAATATTGAAGGGAAAAATAAAAGATTCTGCAAAGTTTGTCTTTTTCCCAAATTTTCAGCTGAATTCAGCTAGTAGCTAACTGGTGTATAATTCAATAAATTCAGCTGTATTCAGCCAGATTTTATAATTCCTCAGACACCAGTTACACTCACAGACTCATAAGTAGCCTTTTTCTACCAACCACTCACTTTAAAATGGACCTTTTTCTTTTCCCAATTATAAGTAAACAATTGGATCACCTTGTTTATTGATGTTAATAATAATTCTCTCGGCCAATTATGTTTCAACATTCTCAAAGCTCATTTTTAGTGACTTTCTATTAGAGTAATCAAGTATCAAAAATCCACTAAAGATTAACAGGATTTATCATTAATCTACCAAATCTCATTCACAACATAAAAGTAGTCATATTCACAATAAAACATATATAACGTTGTCGTTTTGACTGTTTAAGGTGACATATAAAAGGAAATATATTTTATTAAAAGTGAAGAAACCTAATTAAACGAGATGGTTTTGATTTCTCCGAGTGTTTTCGAAATAAAATATATTTCCTTTTATACCATCTCGTCATCAACATCTCCTCAGGCCCGCTTCGCAAACATCTCCTCACCTTGTTTCCATTATCATTTTGTCCTGATTTACGATTTGAGTTTGACTTTTCGCAAATTGGGTCGATTAAAAGCGATTTGAGAGCAAAAAAAAAACACAATGTCTTTACAGAACAATGTCATAAATTTATAATCGGATACTCAGCTATTATAATAAAATGCAAGCCTCAAGCTTTAACAGAAGTTACTTCCACGATGCTTTTATATATAAGCAATAAATCCAAAACAGAGAGTTTCAATAGATAGAAAACAAAAAAAAAAAAACATCAGAAAATCTTAAGTTCAAAGAGGAACAAAAGAGAGAGACCAAATCATTATCAATTTCACCATCACAATTCCGATTCTAGCTATCAAATCTATATGTCTAATGGCATGTTCTTGGTTGATTCCAGGAGCATAGAGGTAACCTCATGCAAAAACTCATGCTTGAGCACCACAAACTCAAACTCCTTCCCCTGGAACACTTTAACCTTATCTGCAACCTTCTTCTTCGTCTCCACAGGAACCAAACTCCACTTCTCCTTCACATAACTCTCATCAACACCAATACTAGCAATGGCTCCAACTAGAAAGGACTTCTCGAACCAGTCAGACTTCTTCACAGCAACACTATCATCATCTTCGACAGCTTTCTCTTTACCATTAGGCTTCACAGCGTCAAGCATCTTCGTCTTCTTCTGGCCACTCTTCTTTGATTTCTTCGTCTTTGATTTCACAGCGGATTCAAGAGCTAATCCATCAGATCCCCAAATGTATTTGCACAGCTTGTAACATTTCTGATCATGAGGCTTAGTGAAACAAGGATTATCCTTGTTCACATACTTCTTCCTCAAGCCCCTAAGCTTATCCATGAACTGACTCTTACTCACCTCCACGCTAATGGAGCCTTTGGTGAGATTGTAGTAATCAGTCGTGTCTTCGTATGGAGACTGGCCATTATCGGCTTGGAAATCGATCATCCCTTGTAAGATTGTGATCTCGTCGTCTTCAGTCCACATTCTCTGAAAAGCAGGCTTCTTCGCGTCTTCTCCGATCTTCTTCTCCTCGTCTCCGGAAGTGGCTTTCTTCCCTCGCTTCGATTTGGTTTCTCTCGAGGTCCCTTCCCTCGGACGCTTGGCTCCTGATTTCGCCTCCGGGAGAGATAGAGCGGCGGCTTCGGTTTCCTTCTTCTTGGGCTTCGCGGCGGAGGGAACGGTGGTTACGGCGAGGGATTTTACAGATGCTTGAGTCGGAGGAGGATTCGATTCGGAGTCGGAGTAGGTCTCGCTTTCCGATTCAGATTCGGAATCGAAAGATTCCTTTGCGGCGGCGGCGGAGACTGTGGGTTTTCCAGGGACAGCGATTGTGACGGCGGAGGAAGGAGGTTTGGCGGCGGGATCTTTGGTTTCTTCATTGGACGACGAAGAAGCTTCTTCAGATTCTGCGCCGGAAGTCTCCATTTCGTCGTCGTCGCTTGAGGACGCCGCCGTTGGTTGATCTTGCAGAGAATTACGTTTGTTCGTCATCGGAGAAATTGGGATCCGAAGTTTGTGTGAGACGGCGGCAACCAGGTTTTTGTAGGGTTCCGAAGGCTTAATTAAGTTGAAGAGTTTCCTATACTCGAGGCCTTTTTTCACGAAATGTTTTATTTAATTATTTTGTTTGAATTTTGCTTTGTTTTGAGAGTTAATTAAGTAGATGACAATATTGGGAAAATAACTTCACCGCATGCTATACACATTGAATAAAAAACTTTCCTTCGTCTTATATACTCTTATCTCCCAGAAATAAAGCGGGAAATTTCCCTCCAATATTCCGCACCTTAATTATCGTTTTGTACTTCTACCCAGCCATCCTCATAATTGGATCACATAGTATTTCTTTAATACTAATAAAACATGAAAATAATATAATTGGTAAGTCCATAATAACAGATGGTATAGTTAATAAATTCAAATAATGTGAAACATGCTCTTTTTGTAATTTGCAAAGGTCAAACAAAACAAAAACACGTTTGTGTAATTGCATGATGTAGAGTGTAAACACAATGCATTCAAATGTCCATATAGATTTTGACTTAGTTTCAAGAGAATCTTGTTACTATATTATACTCAAATTCATTTGTAGCCTTTACATTACAATCAGACACAGAAAGAAAATGGACAAGAACCTGAATCGATCAATATCAATTAATAGAGGAAAAATCAAATCAATTTAAATAATTGATTATTCGATGAACATTAAAATATAGAACTCATGGAAAATTTTGCAATACTTCCACTACAGATTCTGTTTTATGGTTAATTGCAACACTTTTTTATTACAAAACTCAATTAAAAAAGAATGACTACTTTCTTAAGAACTAACACATTCTTAATCAAGAACTAAACATGCAAAATAAGTTGGACAAGGAGCCGCAAATCTGAAGAGGAAGCCGCATATCTGAAGCGCTGCCGCCGGAGATCCGTCCTCGAGGGCTCCAAGAGACCAAGACGCACACCCGTAGATCTAATCGGAACCACACCGCCACGCGGAAGACCTTTGCCGAGCAAACGAAAGGAGGAGAGAACACCGGAAACCTCACCGGAGGAGAGCACGAAGATTAAGGTATAGATTAGGTCAGCATGACGTTGAGATCGAGTAATACACCCTAATGATGTTGACATGTGTTTTTTTCTGCCAAGACATTTGATACAGACATTCGATTTTTATGAAATTCATCATCCATTTTCGTAATCAGTCCCCACTCATAGTCCTTGTGGACATCACTTTTAATATTAAAGTCTAAATTTAGAACCAAAAGAAAGACGTATTTTTCTATAAATAAAGAAATAAATCGCATATTTGTTGTGGCTGGACTGAAGTCAGTGTTGCTCGTATTCTACGGATTTAGATTACAAGCCAAAGCAACATTTCAAGATTTTGCTAAGTAAAGACATAGGCATAGAGATGTATATATGAGCTACCTTATTTCTCTCTTAGAAAAGCGTCTATAAGACTATAACCAATGGGAATATGGGATTGAACGTAAAACTTGAATATTCTCGTCTAAGAGATGATGTGTTTATCTTTAATATTAAAACTAAAACATAAATGTGCTTTGTTAGCGTAAAAGTTTCGTCATCTTATTTGTATCCTTGTTTAATTCGTCAATAAATTTATAAAAAAAAATAATTATGATCCTTTATTAAACCAAAAGAGTATTATTTTTATTTTTAAGTGATAGTAGACCTGAACACCTGGACGTATTTAACCCAAAGATACAAAGCAGAACCAAAGACACACAATTGTCTGTACAAAATAAATTATTTGATTTTCTCTAAAAATGTCTCAAGTAAAACAGTCTTTTAAATCTCCCTTAGAAAAGAGAAAAAAGATGGGTATATACTTGAAAATGAATTTAAAACAGCCCAAAAATGGAAGAACTTTGAGGAATAACATCATTTAGCTGCAAATCCCAACTTCTAAAGTCATCAACATCCCATATGCTCATCATACTGTTCTCTATAATGTTGTCCACACCATCATGACTATTATTTTTATTATTTCCATAGTTGGACCAATCGAAATCCGGAAACTGCAAATCCTTCAAGAAACTCGAATCATTAGAAGAATTCGAAGAAGTGGACGTGGATGATGACAATGAAGGTATTGGAGAATCGTTGCAGATAAGATTTAAAAATTCTGGATCAATTAGAGGGACTTCTTCATCGCCATACTCAGCCATGAAATGATCATCATTCAAACACTCCTTGTTCTTGATGTTGCTGTCTTTGGTAAGACAATTACTTGTTGGTTCCTCTAAAGACTGCTCGCTTGGATCTTGCAAAGGCATTTGATTTATCTGCAGCTTCTTTATTGGTTCTTTTTCTTCATGTTCAATGATGGAGAGTGGTTTATGAGTGAGAGGATCGATCCCCATTTTCCTTAACTTCTTCTTGATGTGAGTGTTCCAATGGTTCTTGATTTCGTTGTCTGTTCTTCCTGGTAAATGAGAAGCTATCTTTGACCACCTTCACATACCCAAAAAAAAAGAATCTCAGAAATAAAGCATGCTGAAACAAAGTTTTTTATTTCTTTTTGATTTCGCCACTAGTCCGAGACTCAAAACATAGAATTCAAGTGAAAAAAAAAGTGTTGAGTTTTAAAGGTAACCTGTTGCCAAGCTGAGAGTGGAGGTCAACGACCATCTTCTCCTCAAAATCAGAGAGAAGACCACGCTTAAGGTCTGGCCGGAGATAATTTGTCCAACGAAGCCTGCAACTTTTGCCACACCTAAGAAGACCAGCAAGCTTAGGAACAGCTCTCCAACAACATTGACCATTGGTGAGGATGAAGTTTATGAGCTTCCTGTCTTCTTCTGCAGTCCATGGTCCTTTCTTCAACCCTACTTTGTCACAGCATGGTTGTCTCCCCATATCTCTCCCCCTCACTCTTTAAGACTCTCTATTGACCACTGAACAAAACAGAGCATATACTCTGTTTTCTCTCCCTCTCTCTATCTCTATGCCTATGTCTCTCTTATGACAGAGAAAATGTTATTGCAAGTTGAAGACAAAGAGTTGGGTAAGCTTGGCAACCACCTATATATATGCGTACAGATATATGTATGTGTGTGTATCTATATGATACACAAATTACACGTTTGAATGATTTGAATATCCAAGGCGAGTATATATACTGATTTTGACAATATATGGCTAAACAACATTGTTTGAATGGTTTTCTTGAATTAAATCTCAAAACCATTCAAACATATATATATATATATATTTTTTTTCGCAAACTAGTGTAGTTTTGTTTGAGAGTAAATGGAAATTAAGCTATTTGTTTACAAAAGACTTATATTAACGCCGATTTACTATATATAATATATACTCCTTTATTAGAAACAAGAAAAAGAGATTCAAAAGAATTTATAGGGAAGCACATGATAAAATGATGTCATTTATACGTGAGCTAAAATAATCTGCGAGATTACAATCTTTTTCCCCATAAGCAAAAGTTATACAGTACGGTATGCCAAAGTGGTTCATGACTTCATGGTGTGGTTCTAATAAAGTAGGTCATGCTGGTCAACTGGATAAACGACACGTGGATGAATAGAAGAGAGGAGTTGGACGCGGGAACGTTTTGGTCGGAAAGCGCCACCTCATCAGCTTTTCTTTGCTTCCGTTTAAAGCTTGAAATTCTCTCGTGCGTCCCCCAAATCGGAAAATGTTATTTATTTATAATTCCATTACACAAAAAAAACAAGGATGGATAAATTTGAAATTTTGCTTTTCAGGTACTTTATGAATTTGGAGTTACCAAAAAAAAACGTAACAACTCTAAGCACACTGTTGCTGTCTAAATTTCAGCACAAAATAAGAGGCACACTAAGGAAGAAGAGAGAGATGAGTGAAAGCCTAAGGAAGAAAAAGGAAGATTGTAAGCACTCAAACAAAGAATGAGTGTTTGGACTGAAATGATCAAATCCATAGAATTAAAGACGTTTTAGTTACGCCGATTCAGATATTGCTTGGAGGTTGATTCTGATGATCGATGTTCATCCTGCCGCGTTAACGGCGAATGCTCATGCCTGAAACCGCCAGGTTCCATTCAATTCAATTATCTTCTCTCTTTTTTTATTTTTAGTTTAAATAATAAATAGCTTTGTAAAATAAAATAAAATACATCTGTGCGACGTGCGACCTGCTACTCAACAAGCTCACCTGCAAAAAAGGAAGGGTGAGTAAAGGAGATTACTCAGTCTATGAGCTTATGAATTCATCGCATACAACTTAACCACATGACAACGCAAATTTAGATTTAAAACACATATCAATCATCACGTCCTATGAACGCACACTCATCACACAAGAGTTTCCTATCGTTTCGGTGCATCCACGCCATCTTACATGTCCACCTAGCGGTCCTTGTCCACATTTATCATTTCGGTATCCATGCCATCTTACGTGTCCACCTAGCGATCGTGGCGCTAGTTCCTAGGCCTCACCACACCCAACACACCACCCGTCTAGTGAGATCTTGTCTCCACTAACGGTTCGGTCTTTAACCGTTCTATACGCTATGTGCGTATAGCACCATACTTAACCATAACTCATTATCATCACATCACCACATACTTTCACATCATAACATATTTCATTTCTTCAATCAACATACATCATGTTCTTCATCTAGCACCCTAGTCCATATATATATAGATATACACTCAACACTCAAATACGTGTCATACTTTATATCTTATTATATAAAGTTGGATGTGCGCGACGTGGTTACAACATGTAGGATTTTTATAAAATATAGGATTGCGACATATGTCACTTTTAATATTACGTCCGTTAAGATCGTAACACATGTCTTGAGAAAAAGGAAAAAAAAAATAAGGGAAAATTTTAATCTTTTATAATAAAAACGAAAATTTATATAATAAATTAAAAATAATATAAGAAAAAATACCTATTAGTACATAGAATAGGTATGTAAACTAAATATCCTAAAACTATATGGACTAGGTTATATAAATCCCTATTTAAAACAATCCTTTTAGTACATGGAATAGGTATGTAAACTAAAAATCATAAAACGGAATGAAATTGATTATATAAACCCCTATAAAAAGAGAGCTACTGTATATTTTTTATTATCATTCACAAAATCATCAAAGCAAATTCAGCAAATCTCTTTGATTCTTTTTCTCTAATTTTAAAATCATGTCTTTGAAAGTTCAAGAGAACATGGAGATTATTTGACTCTAGGTCAATTGGATCGAAATCAAAATTATCGTTGTACTATTCTTATGGGAATTGAGCTTCTATTACTTGATGAAAAATGTTAGTAACATCTTATTATATTGATATAGATAATCTTATTATAACATTGATTAACATTAAAGTTTTACTTTTGTTTGAATCAGGAAAACACAATTCAAGTTTTTGTGCATCATTCATTACTTCAAATTTTTTGAGATCAGATGACGGGAGGAAACATCATCGAAATTTGTAATTTTATGGCTCCGGAAACGGTTAATCATATGTTATTTGAATGTCCACCAGCGTTACATGTGTGGGCTTTATCCCCAATTCCTACAACATTTGACCATTTCCCAACAGGAGGTTTGTTCACAAACATTGCTCACCTGTTTTGGAACCTACCAAATGATGAAAGAATGGGTATGTATCCCTGGTTGATTTGGTTTATCTGGAAATCCCAAAACGATAACGTTTTCTCCAATGATGACTCAGATCCTAATGATATCATAAATCATGCGGCAAGTGAGGCGGTAGCAGGGAGAACGGCACAAGAAAAACAAGAGGTAACTGATGTACTTGCATTTTACATAGTTTTAGTACATCTTTTATGCATCTTTTGCATAGTTTTAGCATCCATTTGCATCATATCTTGTTCCTTTTCTCTTCTTATGCATTCATGTTAGTTTTAGGTTGCATTTGCATACATATGCATGTTTGGTCCTTTGAAATAGGTCTTTTGGAGCATTCTGGAGCATATGGGACGTGAGGAGCATGGAGGGACTTGGCACATGGACGCAGCTCAACTGGATACGCAAAGGAAGAAGGGAGAAGCCATCTTGAAGACCAGCTCGACCATCTACTCGACCAACCGGTCGAGTTCCTCAACTCGACCGGCCAAGCTTCAACTCGATCGAGCTGAGAAGTCAACAGTCAAACCCGAAAAATGTTGCTTCCCCCTTGACTTTCCTTTGACCCTAAACCTAATCCTCTTGTATTTAAAGGCTAAGCCACGAAAAAACCACCAAGCTTTAGATTACTTTTGTTTTAGTTTCTTTTAATTTATTGTCTTTTACTTTTTAGAGCTCTAATCCCATCTTTGTGTTCTTGAAGCTCTTGCTTCTTGAATCCTAGATCCTGGATAATCTCTTTGTATTTGCACTTGCTTATTTCAATAAAAGTTGTTTAATTTCATCTCCTCTTTCTTATGATGTCTCTTTTATTGCATTTGCTTGTGTTTACATTCATGTGTAGTGAGTAGTTACCCATTAGGGTTTGAGATGGGATAGATTAGAGGTTTCATATGCTTAATCCTTCTAGCTTATGGTCTTAATCTAGATTCTCTCTCTTTTGGATAGATCTTAAGGCTACATGACCACTACCCCTGGCTTGTAAGTCCTTAGGCGATTCTCCACATGGAAGTGATGGAAATTCGCTGGAAAAGATCCACTAAGAGCTCCAATATCTCTTGCTCTAGAAATAGAGGTCTAAGGGGTTGGATGGATTAGTTTGGGCAATGATCCTATGGCCTCCAAGGTTTGATTCTCACTGGCTAACCCCCTGTTTCTGAGATCATTCCTTGGTTGATAGCCTCACCTTGGGAAAGGGTTGGCTAGGCATTGAGAAGCCCAATATCAAGAGAAGCCTTGATACAAGGAGTTTTAAGAGCTAGATGATTAAGTGTAGATTCCTGATTGCAAAACCCTGTCTTGAACCCTAATTCTCTTTAGCTTGTTAAAGTCGCTCCTTTAGCTTTTTACTCAACTCGACCCTAAACTCGAGTCCTTGGTCGAGCTGTTGCTTTACTGCTTTATTTACTTTTATTGCATTTGCATTTCTGTTTCATTTAGGTTGTTAGTGTTACCAATCTTACTGCTTGCTTGACTTCCTGGTTGTTTCATATTCTCATAGAGTGACAATTTCCCATTTTGGATTGATAACCCTTTATGCTATAACAACTATCATGGTTAAAGGGAATTGTTGACTGTGTTTGTGTTTGCATCTTACCACCTCATCATATACCACTGTTGCATTCCACCACATCTCATTTCATATCTTTCACATCCACACACAAATCCTATCATCAATTTGGCGCCGTTGCCGATTTGGGATATTTTTGTTGCATTTGAGTTTCAAACACACTTGGACGATCAAGCTATACCACCCCTGTTCTATTGTACTGCTGGGTTTTTGTCTCTTTTTGCAGGTGTATGCGAACTCGATCGAGTCGGTCTACAGAGACTTGGTCGAGCTAGACTTTACAACGGGTAGAAAGAGGGTTCAGAGGTCACAGAGGGTACAAGAGGAACCTGAGGTGCTTGTTGCTGATACAATGGATGTACCAGAGGGGAATGGAAACCCTTTGGGCAATGGACTCGGTCGAGCTAGGCAAACTCGACCGATTGGTCAAGGAGATGCTCCAAACCGCCACCAACAGAGACAAGGGATTGTTCCACCACCAGTGCAGAACCACAACTTTGAGATCAAGCTGGGAATGATCAACCTTGTCCAGAACAAGATGTTCCATGGATTGCCAAGTGAAGACCCCATTGACCACCTTGATGAGTTTGATAGGCTTTGTGATTTGACAAAGATCAATGGTGTCTCTGAAGATGCCATCAAGCTGAGACTCTTTCCTATGTCTCTAGCTGACAAAGCTCACCAATGGGAGAAGAGCTTGCCCCATGGCACAATCACCACTTGGGATGAATGCAAGAAGGCCTTTCTTGCTAAGTTTTTCTCCACCGGTCGCACAGCCAAGCTTAGAGGAGAGATATCCAGCTTCATCCAGCGAAACAATGAGACATTCGCAGAGGCTTGGGAGAGGTTCAAAGGCTACACAAGTCAGTGCCCACACCATGGATTCAACAATGAATCACTACTCTCCACTCTTTATAGAGGATGCTTGCCTAGGTATAGGGAGATGCTAGACACAGCTAGCAATGGGAACTTCCTCAACCAGGATGTAGATGATGGCTGGCAACTTGTGGAGAACATAGCTAACTCAAATGGAAGCTATGGAGAAGAGTATGATCGCACCAACCGGAGCTCGACCCACCACTCGATCGAGTCAGACGAAAAGTTGAGAAAAGATGTTAAGGCATTGAATGAGAAGTTGGATAAGCTGATCTAGCTCAGTCCACAATGAAGAAAGTCAACTTTGTGTCTGCTGAGGAGATGGAACCAGTCCAAGAAGGGGAGGATACACAATTTGCTGAGGTGTGCTACATGAGCAATGGGCAAGGAGGTTACAACAAAGGATACTATAATTACAAGTCCAACCCTGCCATGTCATACCGCAACACTGATGTTGCTAACCCTCAGGACCAAGTCTATCCTCAACAACAAGCAGCTCGATCGAGTCAGTGCCACAACATGGGTATGGTCAAAAGAACAATTACCAAGGACCACAAGGCACTTTCCCTGGACAACAAATGAATATCCCACCAGGCTTTCCCCACCAACCACCCCAGCCTGCACCTTCGCAAGAGAATGAGCTCAAGGCAATGCTAAAGCAACTACTTCAAGGGCAAGCTGATGGGGTAGTGGACACAAGCAAGAAGCTAGCTGAAATAAACTCCAAGATCGAGAATCTCAACACAAGGGTTTACTCTCTGGAGAATCATGCTTCTTCTGTTGCTGCTGCTACAAAGCAAGGACAACTACCTGGTAAAGCTATTCAGAA